ATGTAAATTAAACCCCAAATTAAATTACAACCAAAAAAAAAAAAAAAACTAGGGATAAATCTAAGTTCTGTGGAACCTTATGCTTATAAATATTAAGGTCTGTTTTAGTCAGCTTTTTCACCGCTATGACTAAAAGACCCAACCAGAAAAATTGTAGAGGAAGAAAATTTTATTTGAGGGCTCACAGTTTCAGAGGTCTTAGTCCATAGAAGGCAGGCTCCATTCTTCTGGGCTTCAGGTGAGGCAGCATCATGGCAGAAGAGTGTGGCAGAGGGAAGCAGCTCCTCACATGGTGATCAGAAAGCAGAAAGAGAGACTCCACACTCCAAATACAAAATATATATCCCATAGCCATGCCCCCAATGAACCACTTCCTCCAGCCACACCTCACCTGTCTCCAGTTACCAGTTAATCCCATCAGGGATTAATTCACTGATTATGTTAAGACTATGACCCAATCATTTCTCCTCCAAACCATCTTGCATTGTCTCTCATGTGAACTTTTGGCAGACACCACATCTAAACCATAACAGTGTCCTGTATAAGAAAAAAAAATCTAATTATGAATAAAAAGCATATGCAGAAGTGAATATTTTCAAATAAAGCTAGTAGGGATTTAGGAAAATAAGGAATCTTGAAGATTAAGCATCATTAGCTTCACAGTAAATCCACCTCCTGGAAGGAGCTAGAAATTATGATGTTTCTTCATCTTCTGAGTCATACAACACAAGGGCCTGAGATCTTTTCACTAGAATAAATTAAAGGTTATCTTTTCTCATAATTAGGGCAGCAATAAAGAGAGGTTACTTGTCATTAAAATTAATGTATCAAAATGACTCCTATAAGCAGACAAGAACCAGGAGTACAATAATCAGCCAGGAGTTAGGGATAAATCATGGGTAATTCTGTAGTTTTAAAAAAAAAATTTAATGAGCATCATACATTAGAAAATTCCATGGCACTACTTTGTAAATTTAAACATTCAATTGTTCTGCTCCTGTGTGTGTGTGTGTGTGAGAGAGAGAGAGAGATAGAGAGAGAGAGAGAATGAGAGAATGTGTGTGTGTAGTATAAAATTCTGCGCCTAGGTATGACTGAACATATATATAGTATGGCAGATAAAATGTACAAGTGTTTCTTCCAGATAAAGTGCAACGAAATCTAAGAAAATCATATCAAATGAAAGCGAACATGATAAACTTACAAATTTGTAAAATATATACTACATTCTCTGTCCCAGAGCATGTAATTAACAAGTGGTAGTTGATAGTGGTCATTCCTGCTGTGGTAATGGCTACTGACACTGCCTAGGTCATCTGCATGTAGCATTACTGTAATGAAAGACTACGGAAAAACTAAAACACATGGCCCCTGACCTCAGTGAGCTCCAAAGATGACATAACCACCATACCACACAGGGAGATGAAATTGCAGCAGACAGCAAGGCATTGCAAATAAAACTCTTGACCACTTCAAACATGGCACCGTGTACAGATTACAAGCCAAATAAATGCATAGCAAATGCATACTACAAATGTCAACCAGAGGTAGGGAACATATTGAACAAAACATCTCTCTCATTTAAACAAAACTCAAACATTGAAAGGGTTTATCTTGAAAGAGGGTGGGTGCTTCTACCCCTGGTTGAGTTTCTTCTCAGTTTTACTGATCCTGTCATCCAGTCTACTCTCCTGAGTGAGGAGCAGAGGAGCAGGGGTGAGGAATGTGTGTGCACATGAGTATGTGTCTGAGTGTACCATGTGTCTGAGTGTACCATGTGTCTGAGTGTACCATGTGTCTGAGTGTGCTGTATGTCTAGTAATACCACAGTCAGGTACATCAAAATTTCAGCTGCTTGTTCTCTTGCTCTTGGTCTCTCTCCATGTGAAGAGTGCCATCTTTAAACTCACTACATAGGAACCACCACTTCCTTGCCTTGAGAGCTTTTGCTAAAGCTTAAGAGTTATTCTCAAGAACCTACAGTCCAAAGAAACTTCCGATCTAAGGGATATAGCTTCTTCTCTCTTAATTGGCAATTGATAATAATTAAGCAGGTGAAACTCTACCCTCTCAGGCCTAACAATTTCAAATAGGGCAGTTAGGATAGTCCTCATTAAGAGATTAGCATTTGATAAATATCTGAATAAGGTGATGGAGATATTCATGAAGATATCTCAACGGAAATGTCCCAAGGAAAGTAAATAGTGTAAAGCCCTGAAGAGGGAGCATGCATGGTTTACTGAAGGATCAAAAAGTGGGCCCTAGTGAGAACAGAGTAAGAAAGAGAGGAGGAGAAAAGAATGGTAGAGAAGTAATGGCTGGCCAAATTTTCCTGGGCTTCATGGACCATTATAAAGATTTCAGATTTTTACAGAGAAGATGGAATCTAGGGGTTATGGAGAACACTTGAAGGTAGGGAGCAGTCTGAGGGACAAGAGTGGAAGCAAGGAATCCATATAAAAGACTATTGCAGTAGTTGGAGAAAGAACAGGAACTCAAACCATATAGCAACAATCAATGTGATGAGGAGTCAGATTCTTGGGTGTATTTTGAAGGTAGAATGAGAAGGATCCAATGAGATGTAGGGTGTAAAATAGAGAAGATCAAGGATGACATGAAGGGTCTTACTCCAGGCAACTGAAAAGGTGAGCTTACCATAAAGTGAGATGAGGACAGACACCTGCACATATTTGGGGTGTGTGGGGGGGAAGCTCAGGGCATCTGTAGGACAACTACAAAGAGGGAGACGTCTTCATGAGAAAGGAAAGAAAACTGTCCTTTCTAACATCAGCCATACAGCCAGAAGTTCATTCTGTAGTTTTTAGTGTTTGTCTGACAGTTTTGATGCAAATTCCCTACCTCTCGTTTAGCCTTGAAAAGAGAATATTTTTAAAGAAATATAGGTAGGGAGGAACATGCTGTATCTGCAGTTTTTAAAACTTATTAAAGATTCACATGGCTGAAAGAGATCAGAACAGTTTAACCTTTGTAATATTTTCATCCTTATAAAAAGGTATAAAAGAAAACTTAGTACCCTGTCTAGAAGGTAATTTGTCTCTTTTGATATTATATAGCTACTACAGCTTTAATTTGATTAGCATGGATTAAGTCCCCATCCTTTTACTTGTAACTTATTCCTGTCTTTATACTTAAAGCATGTTTCTTGTAAACAATATATAGTTGGGTTTTGCGGTGGTGGGTACTATTTTCTTATCTAATTTGACAACCACTGCCTTTTGAGATATCAAGACCATTAATACTTAGTGTGTTTAGTACTAGTTGCTTTAAGTCTATACCTTGTTACATGTTTTCTATTTGTCCCATCAGTTGCTCTTTGTTTTCTTCTTCCTTTATTTCCACCTTCCCTAAGTTTGGGTATTTTTCATGATTTTGTCTTATCTCTTTCATTGGCTTATTTGATAAGGCTTTTTGCTCGGTTCTTTCAGTCATGGCTTTAGGGTTGGACTGTAACTTATTACAGTCTACCCTTGAATGACATTAAATGACTTCACATATAGCATAAAACCTGCCAGGCACGCCTGTGATCTGAGTGGCTTGGCAGGCTGAGGAGGATCCTGAGTTCAAAGCCAACCTAGCAATTTAGCAAGGCCCTAAGCAACTCTGTGAGACCCTGTCTCTAAATAAAATATAAAAAGGGGCTGGGGATGTTGTTCAATGGTTAAGCGCCCCTGAGTTTAATCCCTGGTGCCCCCCACACACACACACACAAAAAAAAAAAAAAAAACTTATGATAGTGTGCCTTTATTTCTCTTTCCCCTGAAACTTTTTCTACTTTCCTTATAGCTCTTACTTCTCTTTATATCATGAATCCCAAAACATATTATTTCTGCCTTAAATGGTTAATTTTTTCTTACAGAGATATAAATATCTAATTTATTGACATAGTTACCTACTCAGTGTCCTTCATTCCTTTCTACAGATCTAGATTTCCACCTGTTATCATTTTGCTTCTGCCTGAAAGACGTCCATAAATATTTATTTTATATATATATATTATTTTAGTTGTAGATGGACAGATTTATTTATTTTTTTATGTGGTGCTGAGGATCAAACCCAGCACTTCACTCACGCATGTTGAGGCAAGTGCTGTACCACTGAGCTACGATCCCAGCCCCCCATAAACATTTCTTAAGGTACCATTCTGGTAGTGACGAATTCTTCCAGGTTTTATATGTCCAAAAGTGTCCTATTTCCCCATTGCTTTTAAAAAGCATTTTCACTGGGTGTAGAATTCAGATAAACTGCCAAAATCCACTTATATTTCTTCCTGCCCTGTGCTGTGGCCTCAAAACTCCAAGAACTAAGTTGAGACTTCAAAAACTAAGACTTACTTCATTAGATTCTAATCCCTCAGAAATCATGGTTATTCCACTGCCTGCTGTCAAAGTCCTGAAAATTGTAATCCCATGTTTTTTACAGCTTAGTAGTGTTTAGGGTGGAAAATTAAACCTGGTCCTTCTCAGTCAGGTTTTTTAAGAAATAGAAAAAAAAATAAGGCAAATTCTATCCAAAATGACCACTCAGAGCTATTTCAATTGATGGTTTGTTAAGGAACGGCCGAGGGAAAAGGAGAGAAATAAAAATTGGAAATCGTGTTGATTTTTCAACTAAGGAAAGCCACACTCACCTCCTGTTTGGCTAATTAACTGTAGTTGTCCCCAGTGGATTCATTATATTTCTATTGAAAATTGAATTGAATGTAAACTGAAAAAGGATGGGGAGAGGGAGAGTTTGATTGGATATTAATACTAATTTTCCCATGAAGTAAACATTTTTCTTTAACTGGGAAGTTACAATGTTTCACAAATCTTTTTAATTTATCCCCAGCAAACAAAGAGTGATCTACACTCAGATTAAACACTAGTAATGAAAGATAGTATGCATCTGTTGACTTGATGACAATGTATAATAATTATATTTTTAATGAATAATAAAACAATACTTTTTATGCACTTGTCAAGAAGAAAAAAACACCCAGCTACTAAATGCCTTTTAAATATGACTATATTTTCCCAGAAACGTGAGCTTTAATAACAGAGCTTTAAGGGGTGGTACAAAACATATAATACTAAGTTAGAAATAGAAGACTAAATTTATGAAATAACCTTGACAGTAAATAATACTTTTTCAGCAGAGATCCAACCTACATCTCTGTTGTAGAAAAAGGACATCGACTTCATCTCACATAGTCCATCAATCAGCTTTGAAATGCAAATTTTTGAGAGATAACAGAGAGATCACATCACCTGTAGAAAATATCTGATCAATGCCGTGAAATTTTCAATAAAGGTAGGAGTTTTAATCTACAAAGATTCTTCAAGAATATCTCTTCAATTAATATATATACCTGCACACATGTATTAAATTCAAGAATAACAAAATTTCTAGGGATAATGGAGAGTGCAACCCAACAATATTAATAACTATTGTATTTTAAAATTCTTGTTGATAAATTTCAGCCTCTTTCCTTTTGATGCTCTCTACACAGCAAATGTGGAAAGAGGCATGAAGGACACTCATTGATATAAAATTAAGCTAAAAGATACTTTGGCCTCAATTATCTAGATATTTTGAGCAAATGCCAGATGGTTTCCTCATTCTTCACTTCCTTTGCAAGAAACAAACAGCTTATGTCTTATTTTCAGGGAAAAAAACTTTGCTTCCATTATATCACTGACAATTTCAGAAGTATAAAATGACTTGGAGATGAATCATCATGTCTAAGAGACAAGAGATTTTAATAGTTTCCCCTTCAAGATGGACTTCTTGGTGGTTTCAAAACAAAGTTCTGGTACTTTGAATCCCAGGATAGCAGTGTGTGACCCACACCAAGTGGAACTTTAGTGTCTGTAACTTTTTAACCCAATGACACTTCTTGGGGTTTCTGTACTATTTTTCTCTCCTCTTGTCATCTAGCATGGCACTAAGATGCTGATCTTCATTCCACCTTCTTTGTTATGTCCAGGCTCCCATGGACAGGCTGGCACCAAGTCACTTTGACAGCCCTTCCTCAACCCACTCTTATAGCAGGATTTCTGTGTTAGTGGCAGAAAAATGGAAGGAAGGAAAAAAGAAAGAGAAAAGTAAGTCCATCAAATAAGAAAAATGTCACAATTAAAATATAGTCAAACTAAATGTTTCATGTTATATAAATTCAATTAGGATGTACCAACTAAGTTTTTTAAAATTCAGCTTATGATGTTAGAGACAAATAAATCCAGCCAATGCACATGTGGTGGAGGCCTATTTGATGGAAGCTCTTATATGCCAAATGATTCTAGTGGCAATTACTCTTAAGGGAAAAAAATAAGTTTTTAAAATTAAAATTATAATTCCACTCTGATATTCTCCAAACTTTAAGAGATCAACAACAAATAATTCCATATATGAGTCCAATTCACTATATCATCTGAGAGGTGTGTTCTGCACCCCTGGGAGGCCCACCAGGATGTCATGCTAACATTGTTACACAGCTATGGATGTCTGGTTAACAACTCTGAAAAATATTAAATCCAAAATCATCTCTCTCTAAAACCAAATCATCTTAACTTCCTCTTTAGGAAAATCCTGGTTTTGCCTAAAGTTCTGTGACCCACTAGGCTAGAACATAAAGTAGTCTCCTTAATTTTATTAATAAATGTGTTGATGCCGCCATCTGGATTCCAAGGAAATGTCCTCTGTCCTTAACCTACCGAGGACTCCAGGCTTGATGGAGTCACCTTTATGTTTTGGACACTGTGCTCCACTCAAAAGTAAAATTGACAAATTAAATTTAAGAATGCTCATCACCCTGCTTTTTGCAGATCCAAGTTCTAGACATGCATTATATTGAACATCAAAAGATTAAATCCTTAGGCAACTTCTATTCATGACATGACCCTTTACAAAAGACATTACAAAACTGATCTGTATTGATCACACTTTTGTATTATGAAATAGTTATTAGAATGTTTATCCATTCTGAAACTTGTGTTACAAATGTAACAGTTGCAAGTGTTAGTTTGGGAAAGACTGCCTCCACTAAGGGTCTATTGTATCTCTTTTCCACATCACCAGTTAGGTAATTTACACCATCTCCCTTTTGCCTTAGATGCCAGAATGCTCACAGACCAATTGGGCCCATAATCATAACCACTGTACATTACACTTATTGTTTCTTTCCTTCTTAAACTTCTTTTCCTCTTTTTAAGAATTAATATTTTGTCATAGTCATCCTTTTGTAAGCTGACATAATATGCTTCTAGCAAAACAAAAATACATCCCTGTCCTCACTCAAAGCTTATTATCAATGCATTTGCATACACAGATACTCAGGTTTGTTCCCATTTAGGCACATGTTCCCTTTTCCTACCCCATGCACATAATTTTCTATCATCTTCTTTGCACACAAATATGCTGTAGAATTCTCAGTATGAAATAAAATTTATGCTTGACGCCATATGCCCTACAGCTGTGTCCATTTCTCTACTTCTCTTTAATAGTAAAACTCCTTAAAATAACTCACTGTTTCCAATTCTTTTCCATCCATTCCCTCTTGAATCCACTCTTGCTAAATTTCATCCTTGGAATGCCTCTAAGCCAGCACTCTTTAGAGTCACTCCTGATTCCGTGTTGCTGAAGCAATCAATCCTCAGTCTTTAACCCCAAGAATAGGGTAAGGGAGTCATTCATCTCAGATGTGTATTTTAAGGGAGTGCCAAAAAGGGGGTGACGGAAATTAAGTGTTTTGATGTAGTATTTTAAGTAAAAATAATTGCAAAAATATCATGATAACATTCAAATTTTTAAATAAAGATAAAACCTAGCCAGGCCAAGACTAGGGTAAGGGAAGCAAGATGAGTCGTGTGAGTATACTGCCATTTCCTGTCTTAATCATGATACTTTGCCAGGTGTATCAATCAGCTTTTCATTCCATTGACCAAATACCAGAGACAACCAACTTAAAGGAGGGAAGATTTGTTTTGGCATTTTCAGGGGTTTCAGTATATTATCATCTGACTCCATTGTTTCTGGGCCTGTGATGAGGCAGAACACCATGGTAGAAGGGAATTGGTGGAACAAAGTTGCTCATCTCATGGCAGCAAGGAAACAGAGAGAGAGAGGAAGGGGCCAAAAACAACCTATGGTTCCCCATGGGCACATCCACAAGGACCTGCCACCTCCAACTAGCTTACACCTCCTATAGTTTCCACCACCTCCCAATAATCCATGAAACTATGAATAGCAATAGATTAATCCATTTAGGAGATCAGAGCCCTCATTATCCTATCATTTCCCCAAATCTAAACATTGCTGCATTGGGGACCACACCTCCAATACATGAGTCTTTGAGGAACAATTCATATTTAAACTATGACATTAGAAATACTTTATTAATTTTTAATTTTGCCTGAAGACATTAATCATCTTAATGACTGCTTGTCTTGGTGCCCCCTTTAAGTTTTGCACCCAAGGCAAGGAACTTACTCTGCTCTGTTCATGAAAGTGTCAGTCCTAGAAGCATTCCATCTTTCTTGACTCACTCCGAATTTGGCATCCAGGGCACCATGTCTCCTTTCTCTTGCAATCTCATTGTTACTCCTTCTCAGTCACTTTTGTTGGTTCCTCCTCTCCTCCAGCTTCTAACTGCTTAGAGCTCAACTCTATGATGTCCTCATCTATACGCATTCATCCTCTTCATGACCTCACCAGGCTCACAGCTTTAAATATCACATATGTGCTAACAACTCCCAAGTTTTTATCTTCAGCCCAAACTGGTCCCCTGAAATCTTGGCTAGGTATACCCATTTTACATTTAATGTGAAAAAATTCCACTTTCTATTTTATCCCTTAAACTATCTCCCCCTATAATTTTCTGCTTCTCGATAGAGAGCCATTCCATCCTGCCCAAAACTCAAGCCAACAACTTTGAATTACTAAAAGTAAGTTCTTCCCCTTAATACTCTCATTTTATGTATGATCCATCAGCAATTCCTGTTGGCTCTATCTTCAAAATATGTACAGATCCACTTCCCACTACCATTCTAATCCAAATGACTGTCAGTCCTTGCTTAGACTAATTACAGTTTTCTGTAAATGGTCTATTTGCCTCTTTCATTTCCCTATAGTTTCTTTTTAAACAAAGCAGCCAAAGTAATCACTTTTAAATGAAAATTCTGTTATGTTTTATGTTTTAGGAGCTCTTCATTTCACTCAGGATAAAATCCAGAGCTTATAATGAAGCTTTGCACATAGGTTTTCATATCTGTGAGCCAGGTAGTCGTGCTCACCTATAATCCTAGCTATTCAAGAAGCTGAGGCAGGTGGGTTGTATGTTCAAGGCCAGTCTCAGAAACTCAGTAAGACCCTGTCTCAAAATAAAAACTAAAAAGCATTGGGGATGTAGCTTAGTAGGTTCAATTCCCTTTTGTTTTAGTTAGCTTTTTCACTGCTGTGACTGAAAGATCTGACCAGAACAATTGGAGAGGAAGAAGAGTTTATTTGGAGACTCACAGTTTCCAAAATCTCAGTCTAGGGTCGGCAGGCTCCATTTCTTAGGGCTGGAGGTAAAGGAGAATATCACGGCAAAAGAATGTAGTTGAGGGAAGCAGCTCACATGATAATCAGGTAGCACATAGAGAGACTCCATTCACCAGATACAAAATATATACCCCAAAGTGATGCCCCAGTGCCCACCTCCTCCAGCCACATCCTACTCACCTTCAGTTACCACTCGGTTAATCCCTATCAGGGTTAAGACTCTCACAACCCAGTACTTTTTCCTCTGAACCTTCTTATGTTGTTTCACATGTGAATTTTTGGAGGACACCTCACATCCAAACCATAACATCTTTACTGAAGGAAAAAAAGTACCTGTGGATGGATGGATGGATGATGGAGGCATTCATTCTAAACCATTCACATTTCTGTTTCTCAGGCTGCATGAGTAGAAAAGTTGATAGAATTTACTGTGCAAACCTGAACAGACCACTTAAATACTGCACCCTCTTCTTGTAAGCTTTTATTGTAAAATCATCTTAATTTGTTTTCAAAAAATAAATTGAAATTAATACAATAATAAGTACAGGAAGCTTCCAAACCCCTTTTTGTTTTGACTACATTCCTGACCTCTTGTGCATACAGGCCACTTAGGGTGGCTAAAAATAAAGTCCTTTTTCTCTGTTGTCACCTGCTTCCTATAGCTGTAAGTCCCATCTGTTCCTATAGAGAATCATCTCTGAGCTTTATTTCCATGAACTATTTTTTTCTCTGACTCTCCTCTATCATTTTCTTTATTCTTCATAGAGAATTGCTTGCTTTTGTCCAGCTAGCAACGATTTTACCCTTCCTCCTTACCAGGTGTAGCTCCAATTAAATTTGGGTGTCCATTCTGCCCGTATGACTCAAGGCAAATCCTGATTAAGAATCCAATTAGGATAATGCTGCTTCCTTTCCTAGCAACTGCATATCACTCCGCTCCAATCTATGGGAATGGTCTGCTGGGGACTTTCAGAAAAGTTAACCTTTCAATAAAGAGACAGATGTAATGAAAGATTCTTCTGCTATTGGACATTGTGCTATCTGCATGTTACACCTGGGCACCTAGCAGCCATTTTTATAACCCTGAGGGAAGCTATCCAGGGACGAATCTAGAAATAGCTAAGAAAAAAATGATGGCAAAAAAAACTGGGTTCTTAATTAATCAATGAGCTAATAAATTAATATTGCAGTTACCCTTTCTCAGGATTTCTTGATATATGGGACAACAGGACTTTTTTACTGTTTATACAGTGGGTTTGGAATGGAGAGTCATTATTTGAATCTTACCTGATACAAATGGCCATACACAGTAACTTCACTATATAAGATTTTAAGGAGATGGAAATGTTAACTGCCTTGATTTTATCATTACATGCTGTATTCAAGTATCAAATTATCACACTGTACACAGTAAATGCAAATGATTAAAATTACAAGAGCCCAGTTGCATACACAATTTGCATATAAGAAAGCTCCATATTACATATATAAACTTGTATCTAGAATACCCCTTTCCAACCTCCATGAACTGTTTCCTCTAAATTAAATGCCCAGAGCAGGGCATCTCATGTTGAGTTACTCATGTTAATTTCATGCAGGGCCCAGTCTCTTTGAGATCCCAGAAAAAGACACCTGCTTCCTTAGTGTGGCCCAGAAAGAAACTGGTTTTACATTTATAAACCCATGGATTGAAGTAACTAAAGTTTTATTATGCATAATGACCAAAAACAGAATCATTCTTATTATTATAAAATGAGATCTAAGGGAGAAAATTTGTCTTGAACTTTGTAAGACCTTTACAAACACTCAGTTCAATAGAACCGCAACAGACTCTCACAAAAATGAAACAGCTACAAGACATTTAAAAGAACCCCCACAGAAATGCATAATTTGAATCATTGTGATATATTTTTTTAAGTTTCAGACATTCTGAAATCTCTGTTGGGTGGGATGTTCTATAGATAATGGTTAAATTTCATGAGTTTTTAGTGTTGTTCAAGTTTTCTAAATTTTTTGTTGATGTTTTTCCATCCATTATTGAAGCCAATGTATTGAATTACAATTATTATCATTGAATTATCTTTTTCTGCCTTCAACTTGTCAGCTTTTGTTTCATTTATTTTAGTTGCTGATGTTAGTTTCATATACCTATAATTTTTAATAGTTTCTCAATGGATTAACACATATGCCATTAAAGAACATCTTTATCTCTAAAAAAAATCATTATAACAAAACTACTGAATGCTTCAATGGCACTCTGTAAATGTTCATTCTCTCATGAAGTATTTGCTTCACTAAGGATTATTTTTTCTTTATAAAATTCACTTTCAAAGTTGAATCTCTGCATAGAATCCCTTGTTCTCTCTGGGTTGCTGATGAAGTCTAGTTAAAATTGTAAAATTCTGCTTTATTTCCTCCCTTTTTGGTCGGCTCTAGCTTCAGCTCCAGCATGGTTTTGGCAGAAATGGGTTTTTTTTCTAGAGTTTGGCTAAAAATCCTCACTCAGGAAACCTCCAGATTGACATTGCAGAGGTTCTGCTTGTTTATCTTTTCAATTTGACATGCCATACACAACCTCACTGATATATGAAACATTAGTACAAAATGTAGAAAACTTATTTTGCTTTTTGCCTCCATATGCTTTTTTTATGATGAACTGAGTTGTTTTTCCACAGGCAATGGGTTTTCCTAAAGTAAAACTATGAAAAATAAAAGCTAAAATAAAATAATTTAAACAGAAATTTTGCATTGAGATTCTTACAGTTTCCTGCATTAAAAAAAAATAGAGGATATTATGAAGTCTCTAGAAAAAAAAGTCTAACTAGAAAGGCACTTTTGAGAAAGCCTGAAGTATGTCCAATTTACATGGCAGTATATATTTCAAGATTTAATCATTATGGGTCACATTATCAAAGAGGCCTCCACCCTGAATTCCAGAATTATACTTACTATTATTGTATTTCATGATAATGATAAGTAAACATACATTGCCCAATTGTGTTAAATGGATATTTTGAGAGACATAAGAAACAATGAAAAAACAGCCTCTGCAGAATTTCCTTTTATTACAAGTATGTAATTTAGTAAATATTTTGAGAATATGGACACAGCAAGGTTTTTTTTCTTATCTGACTTTTTTGCTGTTATAATTTTTCACTTGCAAATATTAGAAATTCATCTGAGTGTTTTGCAATATTAAAAGATTAAAAAAAAACATTGTGAATTCCCTTCTAAAATAATGAAAATAAATAGTCCCAGTTCTAACTTTTGCCCTCAGATGGGAGGCATAGTATATTGGTTTAAATTAGACAAATCTGACAGACCTAAATTTGTACAGTAGCTCTATCACCTACCTATCCATGATGTTGGGCAAATCCATTAACATTCGAGACAGATTCTTCATCTATAGAATGTATAGAAGGATCATCACTCCCCACACTCACTTCCATAATAGGACTTTTCACACTGAATTATAATCATCTGGTTACTTGTCCATTTCTTCCATGACATTACGAGTTTCTTGGGAAAAAAAAAAAAAAAGAGCAGTGGTTCTCAATCTTGGCTGAACACTATAATCACCTGCGGAGCTCTTCAAGCTCCCAATGCCCAAGTTGCACTCAAACCACATAACTGATTATCTCTGGGGGTCATCTGAGATGTCTTTTTTAAGCTTCCCAGGCAATTCCAACATGAGTCAAGGTGGTGAACTCCTCTAGAGGCTTAGTGCAGTACCTGGCACACAGGAAGCATGTTAAATAGAAAGCAAAAGTAAACTCAGTCAGCAAATGAGTGAAAGCTATCACAGACCACATTGTAATACTTACACCTTTGCCCACAAGGCTGAGAGCTCATAGGCTGTGAGAGCCACAGTCATATTTACTTTCATCTACATCTTCTCACACAACGTCACTGTCCTTCACATTCCTTGATATATATTATGATCTCAGAATTCTGTTGAGATAGAATAACATGAAAAAAGAAAAAAGAGGGTGATTTTGGTTAATTAAAGATTTAGATGAACACTATAAGACTAGAATTTGTTCATAAGAGTTAAGCACACCACCCAAAGAGTACAAGTATCACAGCTCAGACACCAATGTTAACAACACCTTGTTTACTGAATGATCATATCTTATAAAACTCTTTGGAATAGCCTGTAATGCTGCCTCCAGTTGCAGTGAACACTTGTTCTTATGTTCCTGCTGCAGTGTAAAGTAGAAAAGGTTTTTTTGCTCCCCTTCCCTAAATAATGCTGGAACATTTCTGAACTCTACAAGACAAAATCAGAGTCTCATTTCTTAGGGTGAAATATTTATTGGGTTTATTCTTTAACTTTTGAAAATTTATTCCTTAACTCTTTCTCAAACATAACAGTTTAAAAGCATGTGTTTATTTATTTCCCTATTATTTATTTACATGTCAGTAAATTCATACCCATTAAATGTTTTGATGGAATTACTTTGACACGTAAAAGGAAATTCTCACTGGAAATTCTCTATGTGAGCTAGTAATAACTGGTAAGAAGGCAAAAGAAAAATAAATATGTATATATTAAAAAGCCAAATGTAAAATCATCCAAGTATTTGAATGACAATGACTTCACGGGGAACTACATCTATATAATAAATTGATGTATTTTCTGTATAGAGCCATTGTTTCCATCTACTGAAATTTTTACATCCTATTATGCAATAATACCATTGTACAGATGCTTAAGATGACAAGACCAATGACCCCACTGGACTTAATTTACCTAGGTTACTTATGGACAGACTTTACTGGTAAGCCATAGATAGATGCCACAGTCTGGCTGGGCACAAATGCCGCAGTCTGGCTGGGCACACAATCACGAGCCACCACACAGCTTGTAGATTCAAACAGCAACTCTTTATTCCCGAACTCACACCAGCCGTCTACAATCACGTTCTGGGGAAATCCAAGTTCTCTGCCCAAATCCACCTTCTCTCCCAAATTCACCTCCACTGGGCTTCTATCTCCAAAATATACTGTCTGAATCCCGTGAGAACTCAAGGGGAACTCAGGCAGCAGGATACGCCCTATTCCCAGCAGGAATAATCTTAAACCTTAAACCTGGAACCTAAACTGGGAACTCCCTAAACAAGATTATCTTAAAACCGGGAACACCCTAATCTGCCTTGGTCCTTGAGCAAGGTCACTTACATTCAATGTCACTGCAACATGTCAGCAACATGGGGTACGCTGGCAAGGAAATTGTCATACCTACTTGGCTAATGGCTCCCAGCATCTCCCCCCTTCTGATTAATTAAACAACAAGCAATGTGGCTTAAGGACCGTGCCTGGTAGGTTGTCCAATTCAACATATGGTTCTTACCCGTCATGGGAAAAACTGACCTTTAGGCGTCAGCCTCCTGTCTTAGGTTGATACCACTGCAATTGAATCATACCCGTCACTGACTACCGGTCCAGCATACAGCCATACTTGTGGATAGGTCTATGCACCAGTGGGGGGGTGAGGTTCTTGGCCCCCAAATTTGGCCTTGGTGCCAGTGGGGGAGTGAGGTTAATGTGGCTTATGGACCGTGCCTGGTAGGTTGTCCAATTCAACATATGGTTCTTACCCGTCATCGGAAAACTGACCTTTAGGCGTCAGCCTCCTGTCTTAGGTTGATACCACTGCAATTGGATCATACCCGTCACTGACTACCGGTCCAGCATAAGCCATTGGCCCCCAAATTTTAGACCATCACTAGCAGAAGGGAGGAGGATACAGAAATGCCACGACACCAAGCCAATTGACGGCTCCTTGGGAAAAATTGCATCACTGGTGACACCATCAGCAAAGATATGTCAGCACTACCACAATTAACATGGGGTGCGCTGGCAAGGAAATAAAAATTATATCACTGGTTAATCACTGTCGCAGATGTAAGAATGGCCAAGCTGGAGCTCTGGATATCAGCTGTTATGGATTTGCGTCAAATTATCTTCTTTTCGATCTGTAGAAATTGTTTTAGTTAATCTCTCTGGAATCCAAATCGGCTGCTGTTCTCCCTGTGGAAACACACAAACAAAACCCCGACTCCAGACATCACTGGGTCAGGACCTTTCCATTGTCCTGTTAGAATATCTTTCCAAAGTACCTTAGGCTTATGTACATTTTTTGGATACATGTGTCTTTCCGCAGCACTAAGTCCTTATGAATCCAAATTTTAAAAGTTTAGAGTAAAAAGCATTATTTTAAGTTTATCTTTGGGGGATATATACCCCTTTCCAATTCCCTCTTTTTGCTTTAATAAGTATGTCTGTATCTAATAGTTGTCTTAGCTTTTTGCATTTTCTATCTGTGTAATACCTTACTTGACATTTTCAACCATTTTCTATCTTATTTCTATCTTCTAGTTTTTTTTTTCCTAAGGTTTGTATATTTACCCTTAGTTGCTTATTTTCCTCCTAGTTTTTTTTTTTCTTCCTATTTTGTGGGTTTAAAATTTTTGTCTTCCTACATTTTTTTATCTTCCTACATCTTTTCTATCTTTTTCTTTTTAACTTTCTATACTTCTGTCTTTAAAGTTTTTCACTTCAAATTTTTAATCTTTTTTATCTAAATATCTTTTATCCTATTATCTTCCCATTTTTTTAAAGTAATGCCTTTAAGATTAACTAGGCTTCAATGATGCATAAGCATCTTTTTCCGACATGAAGGTATCTCGACCACCTTCAATTTAACCTTTTAAAGCCTTTCAATTATCATCTATACTGTACTTTTAAATGTACTTTTTCACCACCTACAGCTTCACTCTTTTAAACGAGGCTTAGATTTTGTTTAAATCGCTTCAATGTTAGTTTACATGGCTGCCCTTCAACCAAAGGCTTTTTTTTTTTTTAACTCCATTGAGAAGCTTTGTCTCAATCTGCCATGTACAAATACCTTTTTCTTCTTTCTTCCTTTCTCAAGCTTTTAAAGTAAGTCTAGTTTCCTCAAAATCTTTTTAAATGGCATTTTACAACTTTTTACTTTACCACACAGAGATTATCTCATCTAGAAACATTTCTTTTTCCTTTAACCTTTTATATTAAAATATATTTCCACATCTTGAATCTTTTTCTATCTCTTTTTTAACCGTTAACCCTTTTTATAAATTCACATTTTGAAACAACTCTTATAAAATTTCTGATTTAGACAAATTACTCCACTTTAATAAGATGAAAGACTTTCATGTTTTTTATGATACTATAATACTATAATTGAAACCCAACTGAAAATTTTTCTACTCTTTGTATATAAATTACACATGATAGAATCTTAACACTTAGTAACCTTGTTTTAGCAAAGACACAGACACAAAGCAATATTAAACCTTTTTCCATTTACCAATTTATGAAAACACACATAATGTTTAAATATATTACCTTATGGAACTTAATAAGTAAAGAGTACTTGATTTTATATTTAGTGGTTGATATTTTAACACTTTAGCTTTGTAAATTAATCAGATGTCTGTAAAAACCAAGATCTTAGACAAATGTAGTAAACAGAATTAGCCATCTCTTTCTTGAAGAAAAATCCTTCTACAGGATACCATGATGGTCCCATTGATATACTTAATAACTCGTCTTTAAAAAGCCATTGGCTACATTTTTGTATTGTATCAACATATGCCCTAATTGTTCTTGGTCTCACTGGGGTGCCTCCTTCCTCTAACAATTTCTCTTGCTCGGAGGCGAACAACTTCAAACCTTGAGTCACCCATTTTCCCCAGTTTGCCTGAGAAAGTTCTAGGAACAGGCAACTTGAAATAAAAACAAAATAAATCAAAACAATAACACATTGTTTTTTGAAATGTTCACCCATTCTTTCTCTCTTCCTCAGGGGTGAGAAATTTCACTTACCTCTAAGCTTCAGAAGTTCCCCGCACGGGCCGCCAAATGCCGCAGTCTGGCTGGGCACACAATCACGAGCCACCACACAGCTTGTAGATTCAAACAGCAACTCTTTATTCCCGAACTCACACCAGCCGTCTACAATCACGTTCTGGGGAAATCCAAGTTCTCTGCCCAAATCCACCTTCTCTCCCAAATTCACCTCCACTGGGCTTCTATCTCCAAAATATACTGTCTGAATCCCGTGAGAACTCAAGGGGAACTCAGGCAGCAGGATACGCCCTATTCCCAGCAGGAATAATCTTAAACCTTAAACCTGGAACCTAAACTGGGAACTCCCTAAACAAGATTATCTTAAAACCGGGAACACCCTAATCTGCCTTGGTCCTTGAGCAAGGTCACTTACATTCAATGTCACTGCAACATGTCAGCAACATGGGGTACGCTGGCAAGGAAATTGTCATACCTACTTGGCTAATGGCTCCCAGCAGATAGAGCCAAAGTTCTTTCTGATAAGTATATACTGAGAACTGAATATGTGCCTTGCATAGAACCTGCTTTTGTACATAACAAAAAATACAAAACACACACACACACACACACACACACATACACACAGAGAAAGGCAATAATGACTTTGCATAGTAGAGACAGAATGTAAAAAAAAAAAAAAAATGGCAACTCAAGCTGAAACCATGCAAAGTGACCTTAATAACCAATAAGAAATTTTCACTAGTGGATTATATCAAACATTTAAAGAACAATTAACACCAACACTTCTCAAACTCTTCCAAAAAATAAAAGAGGAGGAAATTCTGCCTACATGGTAGCAATGTTATCCTGATACCAAAGCCAGAAAAAAAACATCATAAGAAAAAAAAAACTGCAAACCAATATCTCTTGTAAATACAGGTGTAAAAATCCTCAATGAAATATTGGTAAACCAAATCCAGCAACATTTAAAAAAAAAGTATATTCCATAACCAAGTGGGATTTATCTAAGAAATACAAAATTCATTCAATATTGAAAACCAATGATTCATATTAATAAAATAAAGGAAGTAACACTATATAATTAGCATATATAGACATAGAAACATCACATTTGACAAAATCAATTTCATGATAAGAAAAAACACTGAACAAAACCAATAAAAGGGAACTTTCTCAATTCTCAATCAGATAAAGGACATCTATGAAGACACCCACAAATGACTTTATTTGTACTGGCAAAACACTGAAATCTTTCCTCCAAGATCAGGAAGTATCAAGGATATCCATCCTCATTGTTCTATTAAACATTGTACTGGAATACTACCCAAAGGAATTAGATAAGAAAAGGAATTAAAGGCATCCACGTTGAAAAGGAAGAAGTAAAATTATTTGTTTGCAGATAATATGATCTTATATGTAAAAGCTCCTCAGAAATATCCAAAAATAAAAGAAAAACAGCTATAAAGCCAACAAATGAGTTCAGCAAAATTACAGGATATAAGAATTATACAACACAAATATGTATCAGTTGCATTTCTATATACCAGCAATGAATAATCTGAAAATGAAATTACAAAGACAATTTCATTTACAATAGCATCAAAATAAACAAAATATTCAGGAATAATCTTAATTAAAATTCAAGACTACTTCACTGACAATTATAAAACATTGTTAAAATAAATTAAAGAAGACCTAAATCAATGAAAAGATAGCTTGTGTTCATGGATTAGAATACTCCTCAAATTGATCTATAGAGTCAATGCAATTCCTATAAGCCAAAAAAATATGAGGGCTCATATTTTCCAATCTCAAAACATATAATACATATAGAGCAGGGAGGAAGAGCAGGAAGAAAAGATTAACATTAAACAGATACATGAGGTGGGATGGAAAGGGAGAGAAAAGGGAGAGAAAAGGGAAATTGCATGGTAATGGAGGGAGTCCCTCATTGTTATACAAAATTACATATAAGAGGTTGTGAGGGGAATGGGAAAATAAACAAGGAGAGATATGAATTACAGTGGATGGGGTAGAGAGAGAAGACGGGAGGGGAGGGAGGGGGGATGGTAGAGGATAGGAAAGGTAGCAGAATACAACAGTTACTAATAGGGCATTATGTAAAAATGTGGATGTGTAACTGATGTGATTCTGCAATCTGTATTTGGGGTAAAATTGGGAGTTCATAACCAACTTGAATCTAATGTATGAAATATGATATGTCAAGAGCTTTATAATGTTTTGAACAACCAATAAAAAAATTAAAAAAAAATAATAATACATATAGTACAAAGCTACAGTAATCAAGTCAATGTGGCACTGGCACATATAGACCAACAGAGAGAACTAAGAATCCAGCCAAGTCCATTAGTAGCTGAGAATTAAAGTCTGTCTGCCAATGGCACCCGAAATGGCTGAGGCAATAAGTCACTCTTTGAAGAGGAATTTGGACAGCACATCATTATGCCTACCATACTGATGGATGTGATTACATTAAGAATAAAAACTTCTGTTCAATGAAGGATACCTTGGACAATGTTAATAGGCAGGAAGATAAAAGGTGAAGATATCATCAGTGTTTATAACTGATAATTACTAATATCTAGAACGTAGAAAATTCTTGTAACAATCTCAACCCCCCAAAATGAACAACAAATATAAATAGGTAATGTGCAAAAAAGAAAATTCCAAAAATTCTAATAGCATATGAAAGGATGCTCAAATATCATCAGAAAAAAAGAATAAAGTAAAATTGTTATTTTAAACCTCCACACCTATTAGATTAGTAGAAATCAAAATCAGAAAGGTAGAAAATAAGTTGGCAAGGGTGTGGGGATATACAAGTATCCATAAAGAAACATACTGTAAGTTGGTCATCGCAGCATTATTTGTACTAGCAAAGGTTAGAAGCTGAAAGTACATAACTGGGAAAGTGGAAAAGTAAAATATGGTGGATGCACATCCTAGAGAACCATGGCGCAATCAGAAGCCACATAATAGATGTAAACAAAAAATAGGTGGTTAGTAAAAACATGATATTGAATGAAAAGATCTTTAAAAATAGGATAATATTAAGTGTGGCATATATACACAATGGAATATTACTCAGCAATAAAAGAGAATAAAATCATGGCATTTGCAGGTAAATGGATGAAGTTAGAGAAGATAATGCTAAGTAAAGTTAGCCAATCCCAAGAAAACAAATGCCAAATATTTTCTCTGATGTAAGGAGGCTGATTCATAGTGGGATAGGGAGTAGAAGCATGAGAGGAATAGATGAACTCTAGATAAGGTAGAGGAGATGCAGGGGAAGGGAGGGGGCATGGAGTTATTAATGATGGTGGAATATGATGATCATTATTATCCAAAGTACAGGTATGAAGACATGAATTGGTGTGAATATACTTTGTATACAACCAGAAATATGAAAAATTGTGCTCTATATGTGTAATAACAATTCTAATACATTCCATTGTCATATATATAAAATAGGATGATATTAAGGTAGGATGACCTCCCTGATTCACACTATTGTATAATAGTGGATGAAAACTGAGAATATGACAGAATATTACTACCCTGACTATAAAGCAAAGGTAAAGAGATTTTTTTTACTTTAATTAAGGTCCCTTATCAGTTGTCTTTAATCATAGAGAAACCATCCTGAGAGGTTATGACCAAAGAATCAGGAACAGACACCTCAAACATTATAACTACAATCAAGAGTGTCCCTGAAAGACAATAGTCAAGGGAAATCTTTCTTGAGGGAAGAAATTAAAGGAGTACATTTGATTTCCCTCTTTGTCAAGTTTAAATATGGCCAGAGATATAGGTCTACATTGATTTATGGGCAGTAGCTAATAGTTTGGGTTGATGGTTAAAGATAAGATTAGAATATCGATGACAAGAAAGATAATGGGAGATGTTTGTGGAGAGACTCCACTTGGAACATGAAAACATCTGCTCACCAAAAGGCATCTACTGCATATGAGGCTCTCAATACTCAGGTGAAAAAAGATGACCATTTGTATGATGCCAGGCAGCATCTTCCCGCCAATCAGGTGCTTGCTGAATGAATTCACAAAGTAGATATGACAGCAGGGATGAAAGTTATGCATTTGTTCAACAAACATGGTCCTCTCATCTAGGCTGATCCGGAACTGCATTGCAATATGCATAAACTGCCACCAAAAGAGAGCAGTGCTAAGCCCTCAAGAGGCATCATTCTCTGAGGGGTGCCAATTAAACTTTTCTGTATGTTTATTACATCAGACTTTTCCTTTCATTGAATACAGTAACAATTTGTCCTGACCACAGTATAATGTTATGCATTCTACAAATGATTTTTCCTTCTCTCTCTCTCTCTCTCTCTCTCTCTCTCTCTCTCTCTCTCTCTCCTTCTACCAGCACCATCATCATGGATTATAGAAAACCTAATTCATTATATTCCGTGTGACATTGTTTAATTTCACACAATAATGCATTTGACCAAAAAACTTAACACAACAGAAGAAGTGCAATAATGAAATAATATCCTTGGAATTCACTCCCCCATCACTTGGCTATACCTGGCCTGACAAGATGTGTAATGATCTATAGAGAGTCACTGCTATTCCAATTAAGAATATCCTAAAAGTCAGGTTCTGTGGCCCAGGTTTATAATCCCAGCAATTTAGGAGACTAAGGCAGAAGGATTGCAAGTTGAAGGCTAGCTTCAGCAAATTAGTGAGGCCCTAAACAACTTAGTGAGGTTCTGTTCCAAAGTTTAGATAAAATAAAATAAAAAGGTCTGGGGATGTATCTCAATAATAAAGCACCCTGGATTTGATCCCTGTACCCCTCATCCCAAGAAAAAATCCTAAAGGCTGAGGGTCTATCTCAGTGGTACAGTACTTGCCTAGAATGTGCAAACCCTGGATTTAACCCCCAGCACTACAAAATAAAACCATATCCTCAAAGTTTGGGGCTATGTCTTATAAACCATCATATGCTTTGAATCAGTGACCAATATATGATGCTGTTTCTTCCATGGTCAGAATATAAGAGTCTAGGAATCAATGTCACTATCCTATCTGGTTAACACACTGGCAAAAATTTAACTTTCCATCTCCCACAACTTTTAGCTCTGCTGATTTAGAGGTTTTAGTTGAATGCTTCCACAAGTAGACATAACAAATGTTCCATTGGTCTGAAAGTTGAGAGGGCCACCTGTCAATTTGGGGCCTTTCATGCCCCTGAGCCCACAGTGAAAAAGATCACTTTAATTACTGGGTGATAGATAATGGTTAACCAATAAGAACTTGGATGCTGCTACACAATGCAGGCAGTGAATACTCAGAGATACATTGGGGTGCATCTTAAAGCTTCCATTTCTAAGAGTAAAAGGTAAACTACAGTTATCACAAAATGACTGAACCACTGAAGAAGTAAAACCTCTCATAAATGGAAGTATGAACCTTTGGCCAGGTAAAGAACTAGCTGAAGTGATAGCTAAAATCCAAAGAAATATGAAACAGGTAGTGGAAAAAAAGTTACAAATATCAACTATACCCTTGTGACCAGTTCTAAAAACACATTGACAGTAGCAGCTTTGCATATTTTCTTCTTGCTTATTATGTATATTTCCACTTTTTCTATTGTTTTATAAAAGGACTGTTGATGGTAGTATAATTGACAATTCAGTCTTTAGGTAACTGAAATAGAGGATTAGTTAATTCCCTGTATGTGTAAAAAGTACCTTTTGGCAAAGTTGAGTCTTTTTTGGCAGGAAGGAAGAAGTAGAGGGCAAAGAAGTCTTCTGAAAGATAGCTGTATCCAGAGCTAGGGATATAGCTCAGTTGGTAGAATGCTTGCCTCACATGCACAGGCCCTGGGGTCAATCTCCAGCACCACACACACACCAAAAAAAAAAAAAAAAAAAAAGTTGCATCTTACTAAACAGAAGCATAAAGTCATTATTGTGCAAAGGTGCTGATAGGGTAGAAGCATAGTATTAAGGTATTGTCCTTCAAGTCAATTCTTCCCTTCTAGATCTGCTTTGTAAACCAGGCTTGGGACTCTAAAATCACTTCATCAGCTGGACCACTATTAAATTCCATCAAAAAAGGGTTGTAGAATGAGTCTGAAAGGCAGACAAAGAGCAGAAAGAACTTGTTCCTTTTTGTTTGCCCACCCTTCCTGTCAATATTACCAGCAATGGTGCTTCACCCTGGCAGCAGTAGTGTGTTTCAGCCTCCTACTCTTTTTTGGCACTCCCAGCAGCAACCTTATCGTGCCCTGCCTCCATCAGAAGCATCATCAACAGCTGCCAATGTCTCCTGAAGTTTGAGTCTCCCGTTCCTCTTACCTCAAGCTACCTCTACTAGCTAAGTAGCACTCCCTCTTCAGAGGGCTGAGTCCTAGTTCCCAGAGACCCTTCCTCCTAACTTTAAAGTACTAAAAAAATTGATTTCCTATATTTGTTCCCCAGCCCTACTGTTTGCTACATTATCTCCATTTTTCATCAGTCTTTGCCTTTTGCTTACCTTAAATACTGTATTAAATCACCTAGTATGGTTTCTTTTTTGCCTAATGGAACTTGACTGATACATACGTGATGGAGAGCTGCATGATAAGCAGAAACACAGGTTAGTCGTACATATAACAATACAGAAATCATAAATAATAATCCATACAGAGTACTGAGTGAAAAACAAGAAGTAAAATGGCATATTCAACATAACATCAATTATATCAATGAAAAAGAATTCCTTAAGAAAAGCAACGTGTATTTTGCAAGAATATATACAATACATATTAGAATGATAGTCTATGACAGAGAGACAAGGATCAGAGGGAGATTAGGGGATAAAAGAAAAGGAAGGAGGAAGAGGGAAGGGAGGATGGCTTGCTTTGCATAAATTCATGATGATAATGTGCCAGACACTGATATGTACAACTAACTCAACTCTCCACTCGGAAGAGTATAAGAGTCATAAGAGTCATGACTACCTTGATTTCAAGTAACAGAAACTCTAACTAATTTCAAAAGAAAAGGGGAGAAATTTCCTTCTTTCATTTTTGCCTCTGTTACTTACAAGTTTTATTTAAATATCATTAACAGAAAATATGTGTCAAATATGAACATTGGTTACAATGCCAATACAAATGCCAGTAATTATTCAACAACACAGTTAATAATTATTCCAAGACAATGCTTTATAAATTGGTTGCAGGAGACAAGTTAGACATCAGGTACCCCAGGAGGAAGGGACAGATCAGTTGGCTCAGGAGATGTTTATATGGCAGCCCAAACATGCCTTCCCCTCAGGTTATGCACATGGCAGCTCACATCATAAACTTATCAAGGCATTAGGTCAGCCTTGATCAAAAGGAGGGGGGGGGGATTTCTTGACTTACAAAATGAAAAGGTCCAAGAATAGAATTTTAGGCACAGTTGAATCCAAGGTCTTAATTACACTTTACTCTGCCTTTTGCTTTTCTCTGAATTGGTTTCTCTCAAGCACATTCTTTCCACAGCAGTGCTCCCAGAATGTAAAGACTTGTATGTTAACCTGGAAGATAAAACTTTAATGTTTTTCCCCTCTTTTCTTATTATCCTGGCCAAAATTATGAGTTTAATGTTCATTCATCTTGATTGATCTACTTAGCTCAAATACCCTCCTTGAACCAATCACTATGGAGCTCAACACTGTTATGGCTTGGATATGAAGTGTCCTCTAAAAGCTCATGTGTGAGGGCTGGGTCTGTGACTCAGTGGTAGAATTCTCACCTAGCATGCATGAAGCACTGGGTTCCATCCTCAGCACCACATAAAAATAAAGATATTGTGACCATGTATAACTAAAAAAAATAAATATATTTTTTTTAAAAAAAAAGCTCATGTGAGAGATAACACAAAAGGTTGAGAAAAAAAAAAACGATCAGATCCTGACAGACTTAATCCAATCAGTGAAGTCATCTGATGGGATTAACTGGGTGGTGGAGGAAGATAGGGTGTGGCTGGAGGAGGTGGGTCATTGGGGATATGCCTTTGGGGTATGTATATTGAAAGTGGAGTCTTTCTCTGCTTACTGATCAATACGTGAGCCACTTCCCTCTGCCACATTCTTTCACCATGTTGTTCTGCTTTACCTCCAGCCCGGAGGAATGAAGCAAGCTATCTATGAACTTGGACCTCTGAAACCATGAGCCCTCAAATACACTTTTTTTTCTCTGCAATTGTTCTGGTCAAGTCTTTTAGTCATGGCAGCGAAAAAGCTGACTGAAACAAACACATTGGTCAATGATGAGTGATTCTCCCTGACTAGGGTCAGTTCTACTGAGATTATTACTAGAAGAGCTAGAGTGATTCTTCAATACAATATCAAATTCATTAAAACTTTTCTAATTCTGCACAATCACTAATAACACACACAATAGCACTGTTTTTACATTGGATATGTCGTGTCTGAGTAGCTCACAGAGGTAGAGCTGGTCTTAAAAGCGAGGACAAAGAAGGTGACTCATGGCCATGTGGCTATATTTTAGGAATGCTTCAAATTTCTCCTTCCTAAAATATCTTTTCCATCTGCTAACTACAGTCCTAAAATTCCAATTACACTACTGAGATTTATTGTTTGGGACCTTAACGTGGACCCTCCAAGCTTATTTGGAAAAATAGGCAAATGTCTTTTATCACTTATCAACTTTTAACACCTTACTATTAATTACCTTATCTGACTTGTGATGGCGATGTGGAAGGCAACAGTGAGGAGTTCCTCAGAAGGAAGTGTCCAAATGGCTAGAAATGTCACGGAGGCAGACCTGGAACTTATGTGTTAGGGAAAAGTTACAAAAGGGGCAGCCAGTGATAGAATATTCCAAACATACCGGTCTGATTCACAATTTCTCTTGGTAACAACACTACCAGCAATACCACTTTACTACATCTTCCAAGGGGCATCCTGTGAGAAGATGTTTGAGAATCTAGTCCTTTTTTACCAACAAGACAAGTTCCATATTGGAGAGTTGGTTGGAGAATGACATTTTTTCCAATATACAAGGAGAGGGGACATTGACTAAAGATGGTCACTGAGAAGACTGTCAGTTTCTAAGAATTAACTTGAAGTATTTTCACCTTCTAATGTCTAATAGTTAAGCAAAGGAGTTCATAGGACCCTTAATCTTTCCTAATAACATGAAAGTGCCAGTGCCTAAAAGTCACTTTTCCCCCCAGTTAATGCAGTAAGAACAGAGAACAATACCTCAAAGCTAGCTTCCCAGTATCTGAAGCAAGATATTGGTTTTCCTTACAGGCACTAGTTTAGAACTCATTATAATTAAGTTTTCTATTTCAACAGTCCTATTTCCCCAAAAGGAATTACAACAATATACAACAATAAAAATCCTCCCAAAAGGTTAATGAGTGGCTGGAAAAAGAAGGAAGGAAGGAAGGAAGGAAGGAAGGAAGGAAGGAAGGAAGGAAGGAAGGAAGCCAGCCAGCCAATTAAGGGGAATGGGATGAGGTGAAAGTGGTTTAAAAAGAAGAAATGAAAAAGTAAAGAGAACTTTTTATTATGTGTAATTTATTATCGCTTGACCTTTGCTTACAGTGATTATGTACTCACAAATTCTTTTAATGATTTAGACATTAGTAAAATTTGTACTTGATTCTATTAAAACACATTTGCTCTCACATTGGGATTACATTCAAGGAAGGGAGACAGGATCATCTCTGTGGCCTAGTTAAGTGGTAACCAACACAGAGAAAAAGTGTATCCTATAAATGTCTGCACTGCCTGAATTAAGCTTAGGAATAATGCTCAAATGATATAAAACCAAGCTGAATAAAAATGCAAAATATGCCAATTCTTTGGTACATACACTTTTTTCTTCCCGAAAAGAATGAACTACTGCTGTTTTTGAAAGTGTCATAAAGATACAGGTCGGTTATGCTGCTCCCCTGGATGGGTTTCCGTTGGTAATAAATGATTTTCTGAGAGGTTTGAGTTAAAGCTCTTATGTAAATAGAGAGAGGCTTACATAATGCTCTTTAAACTAGAACTTTGAAGACAATCTGCAGTAGGCATACGAAATCTGTCTGTGCTGCAAATGGCATCTGAAAACTGACAGGAAACCATCCAAGATGCGGTTTAAGAAAACAGAAAGAATAAACACGGTTCAAGCTTCTGATCAATCATTTAAGCAAACTTCAACCACTACCAGAGAATACGTAGGAGGTGTGTCTTGGGGCTTATAATAATGCTACTAGCCACAGTATATATTTTCAGGGGCGCTCACGAGTATTATTCATTGTAAATTTCTATGTAAATTCTACAGGGACTGGGGCAACGCCTTCCCCGCCCAAGAGTCAGATGGTGCGGGTTCCCTTGCTGTGAGTTTCGACAGTGCATCATCTCACGGAAGATGCTAAACAAGCATTGATTTTCCAATTTCTAACAGGAGTAACCAGTTTGAGGAAAGGCATGCTCTCGGGGAGGGGAGGAGGCGTCTGTGTGAAGGAGAAACACTTCAAACTGCCGGCTCTGCGGAGAAGGAGATATGGAGCTGTGGGGAGCCAAGCAGCGGCTTCTCTGCTCTAGGAAAGAGGCTGTAAAGTTCTTGCCACAACATCTGCGACGTTTTGAGCCTTCTTAGGAGAGATTTCTTATTGTTGGAGAAGGCAGGACAGATTATCTTGTATTTGTGTTCTTTCCAACCTCACCTCCATTACTCCGATCCTTACTCCCCAGCTCGGAAGTCCGTGCATAAAAAGAGTGGAGTGAGAGCAGGGAGGGAGAGCGCGGGCAGCGCTTCGGCCGTGGCCAGTTCAGCCCCCCACCCCCACCCCAGCCCTGGCCCACGCGGGACTCGGGGCAGGCACCCTACCAGTCTCCCCAGCCCCGCCCTACCTCCCAGCCCCACAATGCCGGGGCTCCAGTCTCACCAGGAACTGAGGTGAAAACTTTCCAGTTCCAGATATGGGATGGGCCAACCTTTAGGTGCATTCTAACCCTAGGTTTGGATTCCATCGGGGGCTGGGAGTTCGCTAAGTAACCGCCCAGTCAAAGTGCGTTTGGCAGTGAGCTGGGGCCTTGTGACACTAGGGCTTGCGGTGGACCGGCTGCAGCCAGAGCCTACCGGGCCCTAAACCTGCCAGAGAGCCAGCCCTGCCTCAGCCCTCCTCCACTCTCTCCACCGAAGCCCTCCCTTGCGCTCTGGACTGCCCCGCCAAATTCCGAGCCGCAGGCAGAGCCCCCTCCTCTTCTGCATCTGCTAACTTTCCTACCTCTCCCCTTCCCCCGCCACGTAAGTCACTATTTACCACCGCGTAGACCAGCTCTCACGCACGCCTGCCCTTTTCTCCAAAAGCCTGAAAGTGGCTGAATGGAAACACTGACACGTGAAAACTCTATTCTCAACGACTTAGAATAGGCCTCCTTGAGGTTTTAATCTTGGTTCCCTCGTCCCGCCCAGTGATCGTGGCAGCGGTCCGAAAGGTCCCCGTATTCTTTACCGTTCCTACGAAAGGTGATGCGAGGAGAAAAGAGGGAGGGGTACTGTGAACGTGAGAGGTCCGAGGCCACACAGTGTATCAAGGAGGAAACTCAGAATCCTAAAGGAATTTAAGTCCTCGTGCATTGTTTCCAAACCAAATCCACATGGCAGTTTTCTTCTGAGTCCTGGAACTGCCAAGCCACGACTTACAAACAGAAAGAAAGGACGCGCCACTATGGACCATCTGCCGTGGCGGGGAGGGTACTTCTCCCCCTAATTCTGCCCTTTTCTCTGCTGCCTCCTCATCAGCAACAGGTTTTGAAATGCGGAAAACGTCTCCTCCCTCCAACCTGACCGACTGTCTACACTGTGGCCCAGGTTAGCCACGTGTTCAAGCCATACAGGGTTAAGCAGAGGCCGAGTTAGCCACGCCAGAGTGGGTGCCTATGGTCAGTATAGTGTGAGGTGTAGAAATGTTAGGGCACCTCTAGGGAGATGGCCGACAAACTTATAAAACTCTTCAAAAAGAAAGAGTGCTGTTTGGGGTTTTGATTGTCCTCAGCCTCTTAAGAAAACTGTTTTTTTTTTTTAATTATTATTATTTCTTCTTCTTCATCATCTGCTCTAAACACAGTATTTTGGATCAAGCTGCGACCTTGCACTTCAAACTTAGACATTTCTACTATAAAGAGATCCGTGATGCATTTTGGCTAGACTTTCAGGACTTTTGCTGCTTAAATTTCCCCGGGCCTGAGGCACTATCCAGTGGCCCAGGCTTGTTTGGGGGCAGCTGTGAAGGGTTCCCTTAATGCTCCTGGTCTGCCTGAGGACTCCGAGGTCAAGTTCCTAGCTCTCCAACTATAGTATCAGTGCAAGGTAGAGAATGACCTTAATTCTCTATAATATGACCTCCAATCTTGATGGCAGCCAAAGAAGTGGGAATGGTGACTAGACAGCTCCAAACCCTGACCTCAGATAAGGAAAATCCTCAAGTCCTGCCTGTCAGCACTTGGCATTATATTCCTGAAACCTGGAAATGAAAATAGAAATTGTTTGATGTATGAGGAGACGTTATCTAATTAGGGCATAAGAAATTTAATCTTTCCAGCATGCAGGTCATATAATTAATGTTAATTTAACGCTCAAATTCTCAGTCATTAATTTTTATTCTCTTAAATGCAGTTTGGCAGGGCCCCTGATCCATGGCAATGGATTTTACTGGATGTGAGAGCACTCTCAGCCTTAGGAGTGACTCACTGCAAACCTTCCTATCCCAATAACAAGATCACATCATGTATGCATTATTAAGCCACATAATTGAATGGTCCATAGTTTGCATATCAGACTATTAAAATAATGTGTTTTGCTTTTCTCTGAACACGTATTGTTCAAGTCTCTGCGAATATGTGGTGATTCTGATAATTATCATCAAATTACTGCAAATGTTCTCTTCATTAACATGATTTCTTTCAAGCATTTTTGAAAGTGTGAATATAATTGTAAATTAAGGGACTTCATACAAAGTTTTGTGAACTTTTTTTTAAAAGAAACTTGTCATTGGAAAGGAAAGGATATATCATAAATAGAGGAAGTGGAGAAATGCTTTTGACTGTGCCTTTCAAATGGCTTCCTCGGTTCAAATGAAAGTTTTTCTGTCCCATTTTTCATGAAGTTTGTAGGCAAGAAAAGGAAAGAAAGTGGGAGAGAAGGAGGGCATGAGAGAGGAGAGAGAGAGAGAGAGAGAGAGAGAGAGAGAGAGAGAGAGAGAGAAGAGAGAGAGAGAGAGATGCTAGCTTTAAAAGTAACAGGGAAGTAAGAATTTTTTAAGGTTCCTACTATCTGCCTCCTGTTTGGTGTAAATAGCTCCACAAATAAAATCTTATT